ACAAGCCAAGCAGTGCCTGTGGCCACCAGCAGTTGGAAGAGGCAAGGGAGGATCCTCCCCTAGAAGCTCTGGAGGGAGCGTGGCCCTGCAAACTCCTTGATTTTAGAATTCCAGCCTCTCGAAGTGTGAGACAAGAGACTTGTTTTAAGCCACCCAGTTTGTGGAACTTTCTTACAGAGCCCTAGGACACTAATACAGGTATAATTTTAAAAATAGAAAGTAAGTGTTGACAAGAGTGATGGTTAATTTTACGTGTCAACTTGGCAGCACCACGGTGTCCAGATATTTGGTCAAACGTTATTCTGGATGTTTCTGTGAACATGTTTTTTGGATGACATTAACATTTAAGTTGATGGGTTTTGAGTAAATCAGATTACACTCCATAAGGTGGGGGGGCCTCATCCAGTCAAAGGTATTAATAAAACGAAGACCGACATCCCCCTCGAGCTAGAAGGATTTCTGCCAGCAGACTGCCTTTGGGCTTGAACTGCAACTCTTTCCTGGGTCTCCAGCTGCTGGGCTCCCCTGCAGATTTTGGCCTTACCGAGCTTCCACAATCGTGTGAGCCAGTTCCTTAAAACAAATCTCTCTCTTTCTCTCTCCACGCCCTGTTGGTGCTGTTTCTCTGGAGAACCCTGACTAGCAGCAAGAATGTGGAGAAACTGGAACCCTCATACATTGATGGCGGAAATGTAAAATGGTGCAGCCCCTGGGGAAAATCATTTGGTGGTTCCTCAATTAGTCAAACATAGAGTTACCATATGATCCAGCAATTCCACTCCCAGGCATATACCTGTAAGAATTGAAAACAGGTGTTCAAACAAAAATTTGTAAAAGAATGTTAACAGCAGCACTATTGACAACAGCCAAAAGGGAGGAAGAACCCAAATGTCCATCAACTGAAGGATAAACAAATGTGGCATATCCGTACAATGGAGTATTACTCAACCATAAAAAGGAATAAAATTCTGATAAATACTACAACATGGATGAACCTTGAAAACGCTATGCTGAGTAAAAGAAGCTAGACACAAAGGGTCACGCATTGTATGATTCTATTTAGATTAAAAATCCAGAACAGGCAATTTCATAAAGACAAAAAACAGATTAGTGGCTGCCAGGGGCTGGGCGTAGGGGGGTAATGGGAGTGACTGCTTAATAAGCATGATGTTTCCTTTTGAGAGGATGACGATGTTCTGGAACTAGATTGTGGTGATGGTTGCACAACGTTATGAATGTACTAAATGCCACTTAACTGTACACTTTGAGAGTGATGAAAATGGTCAACATATGTCATGTGTATTTTGCCACAATAAGAAAGAATGTGTTCAAGTGTACACAGAAGGATAATTCAGGAATTCACTAATTATAAACAAACTGAAGTTGTACAGATGTACTTTTTAAGTTAACAAAAATAAAAGTGAAGCAAGAAGTAAAAGTCCTAAAATAAATCACATGTGTGTAACTACCACAACAGACAAGCAGTCTTGCGGAATCACAATCAAAAAGCGACTTCCTTTTTGTCTCCTACTGTCCCTTGAAATCCAATTGTGGTGCTGGTGCAGACCCTGACTCTAGAAGAAAACTCAGGCCTCCACAGCTTCTCTAGTCAGCCTTACTTCATCATCATCAATCTCGTGGTCACACTTAGGGTGCAAAACAGTCTCGACTCAGACATTTAAATGTTCAATCCCACGTTATCATCAAAGTGTCTTGTCCTCTGCAGCTGAGGTGGCTCGGGCATGCTGGGGGGGAAGCCAGCATCACGGGACGGAGGCCTCCTTGGTCTCGGAGGCTTCCAACTCCTCCAGGGATGGGGCAGTGGGGGTGAGGAAAGGAAGGCGAAACAGGAGAAAAACCTTACTGAGGTCTCGTGGTGACGGGGCACTGGCTTGGCGAGTTTAACTCCCTCGCTCTCACGTGAGCCCCTCCGACAGGCCTCAGAGTGGCTCATCCTCTCCCTTCTCCCAGTCAGCCCACCTTTGTCCCCCATCACCAGGGATCTCTCAGGGGGATGCCTCCCCTCTGGCTCTTTGCTTTCTGCTCCTTCCGCAGCACTGCGAGGAGGAAGTTCGCCTCCTTGAGGAGACCCCTCGCCTCTTGGTCAGGCTCTGAGATGACTCCATGCCAGGTCTCTGGCACGCAGCCCACATCCGGGCTTGGGGAGGCGGGCATGCACCCCCTGCCCTGACAAACTCTAGGACTGGGGCTGCGCCCAACTCAGCCACCTCTCCCTTGCTCCATTATCAAAGCACTTGGCCATTTCATCCTCTAGATTTTTCCAGGCAGGGGTCTTTCCAGTCCACCAGATCGCCACCCTACAGGGGACACATACTGAGCTCCACTGAGGCCCTTTTCCCTAGCCTTGAGGTAACGGGCAGGTGGCATCCACTGCTCTCCTTAGGGAGACTCAAAGCACACAAATGGCTCTCTTCAAAGAAATCCCCACTAAACATCCTCTTCCTTCAGCTCTAACTCCCCTTTCATACCCTCAGTGTGGGTAGGGGACTTTAAGAGGGCTACAGGTTTTTGACCATCTCCATGGTAAATACACATATGGTACAGGTATGTGGGACCTATTGCTGCCTTCTAAAAAACATCTATTTAATCTCTTGGTACATGTGCATTTAAATACCTACATTCATTAATGAGTATATAACAGCTATCATTGAGCCCCTAATTTGTCCCAAACATGGCACTAGGCCCTTTTTACAAACATCTCATTTAAACTTATTAATAGGTATGTTTGTAACTACTTTGATTTATCAATTTCATAACTACAAAGTCATACAGATAACCAGCATTTAAAGATCTACGGAGTGCATTATTAATAATAATATTCTCAGGGGCCGGCCCGGTGGCGCAGTGGCTAAGTTTGCACATTCTGCTTCTCAGCGGCTCGGGATTCACCGGTTTGGATCCTGGGTGCAGACATGGCACCACTTGGCACGCCATGCTGTGGTAGGCGTCCCACATATAAAGTAGAAGATGGGCACGATGCTAGCTCAGGGCCAGGCTTCCTCAGCAAAGAGGAGGACTGGCAGTAGTTAGCTCAGGGCCAGTCTTCCTCAAAAAAAATAAATAAATAAAATAATATTCTCAGTAGAAAGAAATATTCTGAAAGCCTAGCCAGAGAGCCATAGAGTCTAGATCTGGAAAAGACTTCAGAGGTTAGTCAACTTCATTCATTTCCTTTAAGAAGCAAATGAGGTCCCAAAAGGCTGAGGGACTTGCCCAAGGTCATCACAGTGAGAGATAAGTTGTGGGTTATCACTTGCCACAGCTGCCTCCTATTCGTAAAAAATATTAAATAAATTCAGATTTATACTGCTAATTTTAATATTTATCAAGCCAGTGATGGAAGTGAATTTTTAATGCAAAATAACTATTTCAGACTCTAAAAAATGGAATAAACTGAGCTTTCAACACTACATAAACCTGTAGGAACCCAATCTACTGTACAGGAGAATAACAGATTCTTAATTGAATCTGTGCTCAGAGTGGAAGAATGATTGTGAAATGGAAGACCCGCAGCGGTGGCGATGAGAGATGAGTTTAGCTAGATGAACGACCATAGGAGAAGGCTGGAAAACAGCTCTAAGAAAGAGATGGCAATAAACCAAATGCAGATTGTGCCTAGAAGAGTGAACTGTCTCTTGTGTTCTGATCCTTATAGCCTACGATCTCCAGGGTTTCATGTACGCTATTTTTTTAAATATAAGTTATACAGCCCAATGGTGATGTTATTAACATATCTAACAAATATTATTGGGAACCTAGGACATGCCATCCAGCATTCTTAGACTTCCGTCGTGCATTCTTCTCAGGCAATACAACAATCATACGCTTTTAGGGCTGGCAGGGAGCCTAGATATAATTTAGTCCAATACCACATTTCAAAGATAAGAAAACTGAGGCCAGGGAGAGAAGTACCCTGCCCAGGAAGCTCACACAGAGAGTTAATGGCTCTAATCAGAAAAGTTAAGCATTTTGACAGATTCATGAACTCTTGGGTAGTTCCATCTTCAGCTCTAAGGACCTCAGAGTCACATTTTGTAGCCAGAAGTGCTAATTAAACGAGAGGAATTATGGATTTACTATCTATGGGTAGGAGTGAAGACATTAACTAGGCCATGAAACCTGGGGACACAGAAGGAGATCTTGTCTCCTGAGATTCACATCTTACATTCAACCTTTCTATTTTCCGACAGAACTTGAGCAAATGCGTAGTCTCAGCCTTCCTAGCTCTGGACCTGGAGCTGAGCGCACGTGGGGGGAGGACCGCGGCTGCTGCCGCTCTCTGCATCATGGGATGAGTGGCTAACCCCACTTCTGCCAACGCTGCCCTCACCCAGCAGAAAGGTTAAAACCATCCTTCCAAACACATCAATTACTTCAGAAGAACCTATTTCAAACCATCTTTCTATTATTTTGAGTTTTAACCAATAATAGTCAGTATGCTTTCATTGAATTTAAAAGCGAAAAGAAGAAAGGAAACCCACAAAAATGTTTTAAAAAGACACACCACTTGGGTTTGCAGTTATCTCACATTTTTCTTTTTACTGTTCAGAGTGGCTTTCACTGTATTGCCAAAATCAAGTCTCTCTCAGGAGGCCTAGCAGTGCGAACAAAAGCGCTGAAATCAAACAACGTCCAGGTTTTAATCTGTCGGAGACTGTGTGGTACTGAGGAAAGAGTCATTTAACCTCTCTGCATCAGTTCCCACTTCTGTACAATGAGGATAAAACTTTGGCGGTACGGTACTTCTCCTGGGTACTGTGTGGATTGCCTAATTAAAGCTAATTAAGCCCCTGGAAAGAACCAGAAAATACTATGTAAATGCTGAGTATTTATGGGCCACTAACAGTCACAAAAATTCCTACGGGACAAGATTCTGTGTAGACAGCAAAATCTCTATTGGTGATTATTAATTACCCATTGCCTACAAAGAAAGCACTGGGTGTTCTGTAACAGGGTGGGAAACAAAACATCACACAACATCATTCAACAACACCATCTTTATTCAAAAATATATATCTATGAGACATTTCAGAATATACTGCTGCCGCCAATGACAGCCTATACTTCTAAATAAAGTCCTAAATTAATATACAAATTTAAGCTTTAAAAATATTCTTTAAGAAAAAAACAAACAATAAAAACAAAGGAAGATTGAAGACTTTCTGAGGAATATGACCTAAAGGAAAGGTCCTTTGAGGCCTACCGATGCCCTAAGTAAAGAAGAAAAAACACAAAACAAAAACCACCCACCCCGCCCCACCAGATCACTTCATACAGAGGGAAAAACGTTCACTTAAATTAAACAAATGGAGGAAGCACACTTAGAGAGGATGTGGGGAGAAGTCCAATTTAAAAAACAAAAGCATTTCATTTAAAACAACCGAAACTAACTTCCTCACAGGAAGTCCACTAGTAACAGGTGTTAAGAGGCCAACAAATTCATTTACATAATTGCTACAGTTTCATTTCTTGCTCTTGCTGTAAGAATTATGCACCAATTGCTGGTCAAAGACTCAATCAGTTAAAACATAGCAGTGGGTGAAATCTATTATGTTATAACATTTTCATCTAGCTGATCGTATCTACAATATCTACCACACCCTTTTCGTTGGTTTGTGGCTAGTAACATTTTGCTTCCTTGGTGAAAGCATAGAGAAATGTCCAAGACGGGTCTGCTCAGAAACAAGCTCACAGGCAGGACTAAAGCAGCGCATCATATGGGGAGGGGCACATGTGCAGAAACAGCAAAGACTGGAATTTATCTTGCAATTTTAGTAAAGTTACTGCCCTGGGAGAAAAACTTACACAGAGACTCATTAGTTTAATAATGACAGGACAATAGGCAGTATCAATAAGCAAACAACACACAGACCATATTTGAATCAGAAAAACAGCTTAAATGTTACCAGGTTCTACACAGAATTGAACTGAATACCTGCTACGTGTTCTCACTTCATGGCAGGCAGCCTGAGCTTCTGAAGGGAAGCTTGTTACACTTTTTAAAACATAGGTTATGTTTTAACATGTTTAACATGTAAAATTACAAATAATTGGCTTTTTGGTAATCCTGAAAAGAGCAACTCAAAATAATGGAGATTCTGAAGCCCTTTGCACTGAATTCCTTTTTATAGCTTCTAGATTTCAGCCTCTGGGCTACAATTCCTATTACACTATTGGGGCAAATTGTTTTCTGCCCTTTCCAATGTCAAAAATAAGCCTGCCAAATTAGAATGATTTACAGTTAACAGGCCTAACCTTTACTAAAAGCAAAGTAAAAATCCTCTCTAACTACATTATATAGTCATAATGTCAGCTGGCATGATAATGGAATTAAAACCCCAAACAAGTACCCCCATCTTTCCCCCTTCCCCTGCCCGGTGAGCTGTTCAACCACATCTGAGGCAAAGTACTCCTCCTCCTACGGGCACAGGACACGTGCAGCGGCGTGAACTGATGTACAGACAAGTGCACAGAGCGTCATATGTGCAAGGGAGATATTCAAGTTTAGTCACCATACTGTGGACATGTGCCCACACCGTGAATTAAATGTTAGTGTGTGCCCTACTCCCCTAAAGAAAGGGTCATAGGAACACGCAGGCAGAGCCTGGGCTCTCAGGATGCCTGAGCTTCTGAAAGGGGCCCACCAGCACCATTTCTAACAATCGCCCTCAACCAATTGGGGTCAAAAGATCATGTTTTTAGGAACACGCTCTACGACAGTGGGTGGGACTCTCGACAAGTGCAGCCTGGGAAGGCTGTTTGTAGGAACCTGAAGCAAGTAACTTACTTTCAAGTCGTGCCTGTGATGCCTGTTTCTGTCTCTGGACTGTGACTTTACGTCCCAGACAGCTTCGAATGTCACTGCTAGATTCTCTAGCCTGCTTACGAAAAACGCACCAAACCTTTGACAGTACGTCACTGGAAGTAACGTAAGGGAGGATCGGAGATTTGGCAAACTCTTTACGGCAAAGCTGCTCAACAGCTGGGCTCCAACCTTTGGGGTGGATGAGAGCCAGGAAACCCAACAACTGAGAGCCAGTCCCTCAGTGGACGCCTGGACTAAACTTGAACAAGCCCAGCTCAGAAAAGAGAAGCTGCTTTCATGACAAAATGCTGACATGAGGGACAAGATTCTTCTGAAAGCTTCCAGAAATACACATGATTTTCATAATCTTTTCGGGGTAGAGAGGTAAAAATGGAAAATCAACAGGGGCATGAGAGCACAAAGCAGGAAAGTTTGTATTCTTTCCAAACATGAAGCTAACTGGATCCCACCTGCCACTGTTCCGAATTGTGCTCACCAGGAGAGACCAGAGAGGAGAATCAGTCTGTGGTTCTTTCTTGAGGCTGGGGGGCTGGACGGAAAGAGGGATAGAACCAGGGGCTACAAGGTTACTTCCAAACACAAGTTGCCCTCTTCTTTCTGCTGGTACAGATGGCAATCTGGGGCATGACACCTGCCCTAGTCAGTTGAAAACAGGTCACCAGCAGAGGGCAGGGGGGCCAAGCCCCCTGTGACGTTGGGCAGCAATGACAGGTCGGGCAAGCTCTGAATATGAGACTTCAGTTCCTTGCGGACCTGGGTTACCCGAGCAAGCTTCTGTTTATATTCCTAAGGAGACAAAGAGAAGACAATGCAGTCAGGTCTGTGTGTGCTGACGGTCAGGCACAAGGAGCCCAGACAGACGCTCTCGCCCCTTGCTCTCCTTTCTCCCCACCAGATCACCCCTCCCCCATTCAGCTAAACTACAGTGCTAGGGTTTTCAAACTCTCAAAAGGTAAAAAACTTTATGTAAAATAGCAAAGCAGAGTTCAGTACTGGTCATAGTGAATTAAATGGTATTTCACTTAGCACTTGAGATCTGGAAGTAAAAAGTGACATTTTGTATTTGCATCGTCTTTTAATTGGTTCTCATCTATTTGAAAATGCTCTATAAAAATAAAACACAGATGCTTAGGCTTTACAATTATTTTGAGGGTTCCACCTAGACATAGCTAGAAAAATCACTATAAAGCTATACTTTCTGCGTTAAACTTAGAGATTAACCCAGATTTATCATTCTGGCTGACAAGCACTACAGAAGCTCCAAATACCGCACTGCCACTACGTGTGTCCAGGACCTCCTCATTCCATACCGAGTAACTACAGCAAGTCCCTGAGGAGGCCTTCTAGTAGTCTCTCTAAACACGCCAGACTTAGCTTCCATCCAATCACTCCCATGAGAAAGTAAAGTGTGGCACCACACCATCTCCATGACTGCTCAGAGCTCAAGGTCTTCTCGAATTAGCTCCTGCCCGAATGGATTTCTCACAGCTTCCCAACCCCCCATACACAGGCGACGGCCTGCATGGGCCATTTGTTTCCGATTCCCCTCATGCCTGGGGGAATCTCTTTCTTCTCCTGGTCCCAGGGAAGGCCTGTCTCCACTCCTCTGCCCACTTGCTGAGTCCCACCTCTCTCGGAAATCTTTCCTCCTTATCCGGGAGACTGGCCCCCATCTGCACCAGCTCTGGAGTCCTCCTGTGCACTGAGTGTGCATCTGAGCCCTAGGCTGCTCTTAGGTGCTCTCTCCATACGAGTTAGCCTTCTACATTCTTCTAAAATATGACTCCCCTGATGACTGGAACTGGGTATACTTTTTTCTTTCTTCAGCTCCCAGCAAAAGGTCCTCTTGGTAAATCTCTATGGAATGACAACCCTGGGCCATGTGAGGTCTGGGGTTTATGGCCCCCTTGAGGCCTTTCTTTTTTCTCTAGCTGTGGCATCCTGCTCAGTATTTCTGCACGACAAGGTTCCTGAGGCTGGGCCCTTGCTGACTAAAGCCCCCTAACAGAACACATGGGGCTGAGACTCAAAGACCTGGGTCTAGTTCCGGCTCTGACGCTAACTTGCTGTGTGAATGTGGACATGTTCCCTCTCTTCCTTCATCCTCACCTTCCTTATCTGAAAATGAAGGAAATGGACCACCCATAAGATTTTTCTTCCAGTGCTAGAGATTCCTTCATGCCAGACACGTTACACACACCTGGAGAGGCAGAGGGTTTGAGGGTACAAGCTTAAGCACTCTTGGGAGGAGTGATAAGACAGGAAATAAGTTAAATGAAAACACTTAGTTCAAGTTATGAAGACACAGTCCCAGCAAGGAGTGGGAGAAGGGACTTGGGGATCCAGGCAGGGAGCCTCTACCCCAGCATTACTGCAGGCAGCCAGCCTTTCACCCGAAATGAGGGCTGCTCGGACAGGCCATCAGATGAAGAGCCAGGAAGGAAGCAAGCTCTCCTCGCATCTCATTTCCTGCCTATGTAGACTTCACCCCTAAAACATGACTTGTGTAAATGATCAATAATGACTCTCCTAATCAAACTAGCAAGCTTCAGGAGGCCAGGCCCATCTGCCTCACCCAGCACCCACCATGCCTAGCAGTGCGCTGTAAACAGGTGTCCAACACAGCTGCCCAATGAATTAACAAGAGGTAAACAACACATAACGTTATGTATAAGTACCCCACATTAAGTAATCATTACCTTTCATTCTTGAAACTGAAAACTAATCTCAAATGTGAGGATCTAAAATGTCAAAGTTCCCTGCCTTTCCCTCTACGAATGTTTTTCTTCTTTGGTTTTATAGACTTCATCAGAAATTAATAGAGGAGACCAATTCTCTATTACTGGACATGGACTCATTTAATAACTTCTCCTGAATTCCAAGTACAAAAAGGATAAAATCGTTACTGAATAGTTACCCCTTGATCCCTGCCCAAATCCGAGAGATGAAAGCCACCTCGATCGGAACCAACCGCTCTCAGCACCACAGAGTACTTCAACGAAGGAATCACTCAGAACAGACTGAAAGTCACCGAGGCTCTCGTGAGGCAAGCTGGGGTCAGAATCTAAGGCTCCTCACCCTTGGGTGACCCTCAGACTAACTCAGCAAGCCCATCCGAGGTTAAAAAGGAAGGTGGATGATCTGATTAGACACCGCCTTGAGTTCTAAGAACTCTCTCCCAGGAAATCTTGGAAAAAAAAAAAAAAAAGATCGCATTTTGTTCTTGTTTGGGGGCGGGGTTAGTAGTAGCTTAGCATTCTAAACATCACCAAAGAAACTTCACTTTAATCAAAGGAAATATGTTCCACATCAAAGTGCTCTCTTCAAGGCCACTCTGAAAGCTGATGGATCCTGCCCACACCTCCTCACACCACTGTGTGACCCTTTCCAGAGGATTTCTATTTTCAGAGCAGGTGCATGAGCATAGGAGGAGGGCATCACCATAGAAAGGACAAGAGTGAGACTGTCACTGAAAAAGATTAACAACATACAGGCTGCAAGACACAGGGCAATATACAGAAGTCAACTGCTTTCTTATATACCAGCAATGAACAAGTGGAAGTGGAAATTAAAACAAATAACCATTTACATTAGCACCAAAACAACGAAATACTTAGACATAAATCTAAGAAAACATATACAAGTTCTATATGAGGAAAACCACAAAGCTCTGATGAACAAACAAAGAGCTAAATAAACATTTGGATGTTCCATGTTCATGTACAGGAAGACTCAATATTGTTAAGATGTCAGTTCTTCCCAACTTGACCTACAGATCCAACGCAATCTCAGTCAAAATTGCAGCAAGTTATTTTGTGGTTATAGACAAAGTGATTCTAAAGTTCACATGAAGAGGCAAAAGACAGAATAGTCAACATAATACTGACGGAGAACAAAGTCAGACACTACTTGACTCCAAGGCTTACTACAAAGCTATAGTAATCAAGATGGTGTGGTATTGGCAAAAGAAGAGAAAAAGAGATCAATGCAATGACAGAGCCCGGAAATAGACCCACATAAACACAGTCAATTGATCTTTGACAAAAGAGCAAAGGCAATACAATGGAGAAAAGACAGTATTTTCAACAAATAGTATGGGAACAACAGGACATTCACATGCAAAAAAACAAATCTAGGGGGCCTGGCCTGGTGGCACGGCGGTTAAGTCTGCAGCTCCGCTTCTGCAGCCCAGGGTTGGTTCAGATCCCAGGCATGGACCATACCACTTATCAAGCCATGCTGTAGCAGGCATCCCACATAGAAAAAAATAGAGGAAGATGGGCACAGATGTTAGCTCAGGACCAATCTTCCACAGCAAAAAGAGGAGGATTGGCAGCGGATGTTAGCTCAGGGCTAGTCTTCCTAAAAAAAATACCAAACTAGATAAAGACCTTACACCCTCTACAAAAATTAACTCAAAATTACAATGGAGAAAAGATAGTATTTTCAACAAATGGTACAGGAACAACGGGACATCCACATGCAAAAAAAAAAAATCTAGATAAAGACCTTACACTCTACAAAAATCAACTCAAAATGAATCACAGACCTAAAGTAAAATGGAAAACTATAAAATTCCTAGAAGATAATATAGGAGAAAATCTAGAGGATGTATGGTTTGGTGGTGACTTTTTATTTATTTATTTATTTAAGATTTTTTTCCCCCTTTTCTCCCCAAAGCCCCCCGTACATAGTTGTATATTTTTAGTTGTGCAACCTTCTAGTTGTGGGTCCATCTAGTTGTGGCATGTGGGATGCCGCCTCAGCATGGCTTGATGAGCGGCGCCATGTCCGCGCCCAGGATCTGAACTGGCGAAACCCTGGACTGCCAAAGCGGAGTGCGCAAACTTAACCACTTGGCCACGAGGCTGGCCCCTGTTGATGACGTTTTAGATACAACACCAAAGGCATGATCCATGAAAGAACTGATAAGCTGGATGTCACTCAAATTAAAAATTTCTGCTCTATGAAAGTCACCGTCAAGAGAATGAAAAGACAAGCCACAGATTGAGAGAAAATGTTTGCAAAAGACAGCAAGTGTCATCAGGGAAATGCAAATTAAAACAGTTAGATACCACCACACACCTATTTGAATGGCCAAAATCCAAAATACTGACCACACCAAATGCTGAGGAGGATGTGGAGCAATAGGATCTCTCATCCACTGCTGGTGGGAGTGCAAAATAGTACAGCCACTTTGAAAGATAGTTTGGCAGTTTCTTATAAAACTAAATATACTCTTACTATATACCATCCAGCAATCATGCTTATTGATATTTACTCAAATGAGTAGAAAACTTAAGTCCACACAAAAACCTGCATATACACGTTTATAGCAGCTTTATGCATAATTGCCAAAACTTGGAAGTAACCAAGACGTCCTTTAGTAGATGAATGGATAAACTGTGGTACATTCAAATAACAGAGTATTATTCAGCTCTAAAAAAAAATGAGCTATCAAGCCATGAAAAGACATGGAGGAGCCTTAAATGCACATTACTAAGTGACAGAAGCCAACTGTATGAGTCCAACTATACTACATTTTGGAAAAGGTAAAACTATAGAAACAGGGGTTGGCAGGGGGGATGAACAGGTGGAGCACAGAGGATTTTCAGGGTAGTGAAAATACCATAATGATGGATACTTGTCATTATATATGTTCAAACCCACAGAATATACAACACCAAGAGTGAACCCAAATATAAACTATGGACTTTGAGTGATTATGATGTGTCAGTGTAAGCTCATCAATCGTAACAAATGTACCACTCTGGTGGTGGATGTTG